GCTACTAGTAACAAGTGCCTTACTAGTAGTAACAAGAAGCTACTAGAAACAAGTGCATCGCGACTAGTAACAAGTGCCTTACTAGTAGTAACAAGAAGCTACTAGGGGACTCCTAGGAACAAGAAGGTGTTTGGACCATGGTTGGCGCTTTTCCGGTTTGAGCTGGAGGTCTCTTGACTTTTTGGAGTGTAGAAAGGGACGGATGCTAGACTTCACAGACGGAGAGCGAAGAGAAGCTACGAAGTGAAGTCACGGAAGTCACATAATCCGTGTCGAATGGGAGCTGAGCATTCGAGACACGGATTTTGCCTGAAGATGGCGACACGCTGTGCAGGAGCGCGACACGCTGCAACGCTGGGAGTTCGGGGCCTTGAACTCGGAGAAGGCGAAAGGGTTCGGATGAAGATATGCTTCGAAGGGTTCTTTGGTTCAAGAGAGTTCTTTAGGATAGTTGCCCTAACTTATTAACAAGAAACGTCTCATTAATCAATAAACAAGTGCAACAGCGAGGTTGATGTCTTCCGAATAAGTTTTTGGTTTCACTGTCTGGCTTTGTGACATTTACAAGACTGACTGATCAGACAAATGGCAAAGGAACCAGACTAGTGACTAGACTTACCGACGGTCTTTCACTCTATCGACACCCTCACCAAAGGTCTGTCATTTGCGATCCAATGGCCAGACATACCTTCACATCCCACAGGCTGCCTGTGGGACCGAAAGGTAATCGTTTGACATCTCCTGCTAAGTCAGTCGGGTGACACACCTGTCAAAAAAGATCAGCTTGCGGTTCATGTCGAAGAGAACTCTTGAGACCTCTTGAGTCACCAGAAAGATGATTGACATCCCAAACCTCCCATCCATATTTGGACGATCAGAACTCGCCCCCAACCGCCGGCACCGCGCGGACTCCGTGCGTGCGGACCGCGGGGACCGCGGGGACCGCGGGGATCGCGCGCGCGCGCAACGCTCGCAGCCCGTCGGCAGGTCTTGGCCTTTAGCAGCTTCGTGCGCTGCTGGGTGACCGATGCACAGCTGCTGGTGGCCGGGCTCTTCAACGGAGCACTGCAAGTGGTGCATTGGGAGACCGGGCGAAAGGACACCCGGTCTACCGGGGCCATGCGAGCGAGGAGTTTTTCAAACGGAAGGGGGGGAATTCCACTACCCAAGAGTTCTTCAAAGTTTCAAGGGGAAACCACATTATGGGTACTTATATATATAGCCAGGTATCGAACTCAATTCGCATGGAAAAAAAGCATCGGCGGAGAGTGGGAACCTCTATAATCCCTCTCTATCTCTCCTTTGTTTCCAGCCAATGCTGAAGTAGCTTACACCTAGACTGACGCACACTCCCTCTAGGAGCTCTTGAATGGTCGCCACGGCGATGAAGTCATTGCCGTGGCCCTCAACGACCAGCACGTGCTCTCCGGCAGCGGTGAGCCCGGCTACTACGCGCGCCAGGCGCAGGACGCCTCGGTGCGGCTCTGGCGCCGCGACGCCGACGGGGACGCGGGTCCCAGCGTGAGGCCGGCCGGGTGCTTCAAGGGCCACGCGGATTCGGTGCGCGCGGTGGCGTTGTTCCACACGGAGCCTTTGAAGGACTACGGTCTCTCGGGCAGCGTGGATTGCCACGTGATCCTGTGGCGCCTCAGTCGCGGCGAAGCGGAGGCCACGGCGCTGCTCTGCGGGCCGTGCCGCTGCTTGCGGGTTCTCTGCGAGGGCACGGCGCGCGCGCGGATCTTCGCCGGGTCAGGGGAGGGCGTGGCGGAGCTGGCCTTGACGCGCACGAGCACGGGCAGCTCCACGGCGACGTTGACGCAGCTGAAGTTCGTGTCGGCCTATGTGGAGGTCTCCTCATTGAGTTATTTTCCAAGTCCTCCGTTGCGGCAGGACATGGATCAAGGACATTGGCCCAAGAGCTTCCTGGGAGCCAATCTGAAAGTCGCGGTGGGCAGCGTGGATGGACAATTCGCTTTGTTGCAAGCGGGAAGCTGTCGAGCCGTGCATGAGCTCTTCAAGCCCAGTGAGGGTGTGAGCCAGGAGGTCATCTCGTTAGTCACCTGGCTGCCGTTTCGTTATGTTTCGGTGTTTTTTCCCCCAAAGAGATTTGCTGTGAGGGGTTGTCATCTCTTTGACTCCTTTGCTTTATGTTTTCCTGTTTTTTGCAGCTCAACAGCTGCGGTGGTGGTAATGGTGGAGGTGCATTAGGAGAGCTTGCGGTGATAGCCCCAGCAATCCATTGGTGCACTAATCCCTCCAGTTCCTTCAACTGCTCGCCTCCTTCTTTCGACCAGGTCATGATCAGTGACAATCGCATTCTGCTGGTGAGCAGGGCTGGGATTCTCACGCTGCTGGCGTCTTGCCTGGAAATCCATGTTTTTTTTTGCCGGAAATTCTACCTGGAAACCCAGTCCCAACCACTTGCTGTGTAAAGGATCTCAAGGCGCCATATTGGAACAACCAGAACTTTTTCTGGTTTGGAACTGGTTTGTTTGGAGCTCAAAAAGAATTGGAATGCATGACTTGGCCATCGCCTTGATGGGATCAGGGGACCTAAAACGAACACCCCTTCGGAGACCGAGGGAGACCGGTGTCGGTGTCGTGCTGAGGCTGATAGCCCTTTTCACCAATGGGTTTGGATAGCCCTTTCTTCTTGCACCAATGGTTCTTGATTGCTAGCCTGGAGCTGGGGTGAGCAACTGAATTCATCTGAAAGCTAATTTGTTTTTTTGGTTGCATTTGCTCTTGCCACAGCAATTTCACCAACCCAAGGATCTGACTTCACTGATTGCCTGGCGACATGATCCCATGTTGGACCCTTCAGAGAGATGACAACCAGCCCCAATTCATCCCAGAAATTGAAACAAAACTCCCAAACTGGGCCACCTCTCCCGGTGATGAGACCTGCCAGCCGTCCTAGAACCTCATGCCTTCTCGACTCCAAGCAGAGGCAGCTTTTTTTGGCAAAGCCTTTGTTCAATCGGCCTTTCCCAACAGCTTTCCGCTCTTCAATACGGATTCTTCAAACAAGGTGGTTGGGCTATGACTCACCATGTGTTCGACTGGACTTGACGACGCCAGAATACCTCCTTTCTCCCAAGAATGACCGTTGAAATCTGTCCACTTCTCCGACCGCCGGTCGCTCATCTCGTGGCTCAAAAATCAGGAAAGATCACGTTTTTTCCATTTCACGTACCAGGATCATCCAATGGGTGTCCAATAGACTACCCTACTTACAAGTCTCCATTGGGCACCCGATGTATAACACAATGTGACTATGTCCCATCATGTCCATACCCAGCAATACAATGGAACATGGTCTTTTTGGTCGCGTAACACATATGACGACCATGTCCCATCACCCACTCTTTTGGCGGATTCCATCGACCTCCGACCTCCACCGGTCCGACCACACCGAGGCCTGGGAGGGCCTCTTGTCCTCGGAGGCGCCGTGCCGCGCCGTCTGGTCCAAGACAGGCGGAGGGAGGACGCGCGGAGGGCGGAGGGCGGAGGACGGAGGAGATGGAGAGCCAGACATGAGAAGAAAAGGGAGACCTGGTGTGCACGTGGTGGATCACATGATCATCTCCTTGAAAAGGTGGCAAAAGGGACTGTGGAAGGACTGTGGTATAGATGAATCCCCCCACTTTGCAACGATCGTTGACAAAGAATAGACTCATGGGTGGATCTCACGAAACCAGGTGATCTCACGACGTCGCTGGTCGTGTGCGAAACCATGTTTGACAATGAGCCTGTTCCTGCCCAGCCTCGTGTGGACCGATATGTTACCCTTCTGATTGTTGAGATGACTGAGATGACTCAATTTATGATGAAATTGGAGGAAGATCTGAAATCTGTCTACGGATCTTCCCCAATGATCCTCCAGTTTCTAAACCGACTCAGAAGAAGCCGACCATAATCCTTCCTCAAGAAAGCCACATCCTTTGAGCCTGTTCTTTTCTCGTTGTCTCCACCCGAGAATGCCAGGCTGGCGCATGTACGTCTCCACCATTGGTTTGTGGGGCCCTGGTCGGTTGATTTCCGATGGCTTCGACAACATCATTCGGACCTTCACGCTCGAGAGAGGCTTGGGAAGGAGAACAGTGAAGAGTTCGGTTTTTTGGGGCGAAAAAGGTGTATCACTGGACTTCTCAACGATTTCCACCAAAAGATTTGAAAAGGGGACAGATGCGCTTGGGGGGTTCTGCCAAAAAGTGTTGGTGGTTTGGGGAATTGGAAAAGAAGCACATGTTTTCGTTTGCTGTTCAACAAAAACCATATTAGTAAACAAGCACTAAGTCCATTACTATGTCAGGCGGTGGCCGCTTTGTCATCCATCCTGCACCGTATATTTTTGCTTGGATATGACGGTCGGATGTGTGCGTTTTGACGGCATCGTTTCTGAGGAAAGACTTATTTCGATGAGATGCAGCAGTTGGATGAAGGAACCTCGAGCGAATAACGAAAAAGGAGAGGGTCACCCGATAACGAGTGCCGATTCCACATGTGACTGGATTCTACAGTTCTATCCGAAACCCTTGTGGTTGGATGAAGAAAGGAGGTCAACTCAGCACGAGAGCATTCCGAACTACAGCCCAAATTGGGTTGGAGGGACGTGATTCTTGATATATTCATCATGTGCCAATTTTGCACGTCATTCTGCAGTTTCTTGCATTCCCAGCTGGAACTGATCCCAAAAAACGATCGAACATCCAGCTTCTGTCTTGTCTGTCGCCGTAGCCCTTCCCCGGCTCGGACGTTTGACTTGTTTCGTGAGTCTTGGTCTTCTTTGTCGCGACCTTAGCGAAGCGGGTGAAACGGGATGATACGAGATGCAAGGCCAAAAGGTTGCAGAGGACTTGGAGAAAAGAAGGATGAGTCTTAAAATGAATGGTTTCTTCAGTGCTGAGTGCCGTGCCTACCTCAGTTTAGACCTTCCAAATGTCCAGCCAAAGACATTTCGTGGTTCTGATACTGCATTTTGTGTATGGTTACTTAACCGGTTGCTTCTTGAAACTGTACTGCTGGTGCTGTCTATTTCCACTTCCCTAGCGGTCAGGGTGCAGCGGTCAGTGCTTCCGCCCGTTATTGACCGCGTGGTCTCACGCAGCGAGGTCTTCTGAGCCATGGCTGGTCTCTTGCGTCGTGCCGCAAGGTCTGGAAGCCTGGAAGGGAAGATTGGTGTGTTCATTCGACTTGTGATGAACACCACTGCCTGGAGGAGTCATCATCTTTGGAAGTGATCACCCACCGACTTCCAGAGGAAAAACTAAGGGGGGGGGGATCATCGGAACTCTTTGAGGCCTATGAGCGGCCTATGCGTTTCTCCACCTGGGCCCATGGGTTTACGATACAGGGGAATGTATCGTTGTTGGTGTCGACAGATCAACGAAACGGGGGGGGGGGCATGGGTCAAGACTTGGAGCGAACGACCTACCGCTCGAGTGGCATGGCCGCCATATAACAAGGGCCCCCATTGGTCACTTGGGGCCGCTTGGGGCAGATGGTAGCTGCTTCCTATCGAGATGGCGACGACGGACCTCCCGGGGTGATGACTTGCCATGAAATCCATCTTCTCCACGTTGGGGCAGAACTGGGCGAGAAATCCTCAACTTGGTCAGATATAGTTTTTCTTGGAACTATAGATCCAAAGAAGGCTGAAACTAGGATCTAATGGGGATTTGTCATAATGGGGTCAACAGCAATTCCTATGTAGCATCTTTGAAAGGGCATGGCATACTTCCTTCACTCTCCCCCGATCGGATGATCTGAGGTCGGAGTGTCAATTGCGGTGCCACGATTTGGACGTTGACATGGACCTCTGACCACTCACGTATAGCTACGTGAACCACCGTGGAAACATCGTCCCAGAAACTTCCCCGCGAGTCGTCCCAGTAAGGTCCAAGAAAAGCCAGAAAGCAACACCATCACCGTTGGATCCCGTCTTCGTCCCATCATCGAAACGTCCAAACCGTGGTTCCTTGGAGCCCATCCGACATGGCACCCATCCGAGCGTCCAGTGGGCACCCCCGGTCCTTTTCAGGTGCCAGGCCGCACTGCCCCTCCGCGGCAGCGTGGCGAAGGGTCCCATCAAGCCCATCGGCCCCAACTTCCCGATCGCCTCTGAGAAGGCGCTGCGGGAACCGCGCGCCATCTGCGGGGAACCGCTGCGGCACCGGAAGCGTCACCAGTCTCCTCGCGCGGAAGCGAAACGGAGGAGAAGGCAACAGAAAACCCCCTGACCAGGCGATGGGACCCAACGGCTGGATGTTCCTTGGAGCGAAGCGGAGCAGAGCGCGGACACCTTCGGTCCCACCGGCGATCGGCGATCGTCGTTACGTCGTGGAAGCGGAAGCTGGCCACAAGGGGGGCCTGTTTGCGGGTGAACAAGCAACGAAACACACCGAACTGTGCCAGATGGATGAAGGGGTCCATGCGCTGTGCCCCACGTGGTCACTATACTCATGTTGGATTCGTTTTCGACCCCCGGTGCTCGTGTTCGCATCGTCCAGTGGATATGAGTTGAGAGAGGATGTATGCAATACAGTGTGAGACCTCCGAGTTCGGTAGGTGCTAGCCTGGGCGTGCTTTACGAGGCTTACCATCAAAACGGCATTCCGCAGTCGTTTGGTGGCGGCGCTGCCCAACAGCTGCTGACTGTGCCAGTCGCAGCCGAAGTTTACGAAATCGTTCACGGATTCTGAGGCTGGCAGAAAGTGAGAGGCCACCCAAGTCCCACTGAGATTATGACAAACACAGAAGATCAACCTTCTCCAGAAATGGCTGTCCAAACTCCTATTATCTCCCAATATGTTACCTTGAGTGTCCAACAAGAACTGGTTCTTCCCAACGTTCCCCGGATACCAGAGACGTGTGGCTACAACTACCAAAAAGGACCCCAGCGCCCACCCACTGAAAGGGTCAACCCCTCACACGGAACCACCTTTTGTTTCAGTCCACAATCCTTTGTCCACATCACATCACACCCTCCTTCCACACATGTGGATCTGCCAAGGAGGGGAACCTACCACTTCTGGAGCTTGTCCAAGCCCTTCAGGTGCGATTTGGACAACCCCCCGGGTAACGGGACCGGTCGTTGTCCCGGCGACGTCGTGAGTGGACGTACCGTACACTGGTGAAACGCCGAACGAAGGACGAGGGTGTTCTACGGCTTTTGGTCGCCTCGTCTCGTCCGAGCGGTCGATCGGAAGGACCACGAACGACGCCATGCGACGGGATGGAAGAAGGTTTGAAGCGGCACGTTCAGGAATTCTGACCTGTCATTCTGAGTAGAAAGCCTTATAGATCAAGTCGCCAAATGGCGGTTCCAAGTCAAAGTATACCAGGTGTTTCTTTTTTGAAGTTCACAACCAATGAACCGGTGCCGCCCCAATCATTTTCCCCGAACCCGCCGGACCTTCGGACCTTCCGGACCCCGCGCCGCACCCGCTGCCGCGCTGGGCGGACGTGTCAGGGGATCCGTATACCAAACTCCCTGGGTCGCGGGTGGCATCCACAACCCAACCATCGATCCGGTCATTCACTTCAACACCCAGGACCGAGCCCGGGAGTTGTCGCGTCTCTCGAGTCGAGCGGACTATGGCCGGAAAACAGGGGCAGATGGACTATGATGGACTCGTTTGGACTATATGGGGGGAGAGAAGCTAGTAGTAACAGGTGCCTTACTGGTAGTAACAGGTGCCTTACTAGTAGTAACAAGAAGCTAGTATGGGGGGAGAAGTCTTTTTTTTGTTGAGAAATGGCGACAAGTTGCGACAAGGATGAGTCCTGAGGTGCACATCTCCTCGGGATGAAGTCGATCTTGGGTGACACATGTTCTTTTTGTTCGCTGAGAAGTACGCCCGGTTAGATCTGGCGGAAACTCGGTGGCACGGTGCCCGTGCCTTTGCTATGTTTTAACTTCTGGGAGCAGATTGTCTTGAATCTGAAGGTGGAACTCACAGAGATGCTTGAATTCTATACCAGGATCATCCAATGGGTGTCCAATAGACTTCCCTATACCCGATGGAAGTGCTTGAATTCGCTTAGTTGACCAAGTTCTGGACACAGCTGTGGCTCATCCAAACCTGCTGTGGCGCTCATCGGGATCACAACGGAAACGACCGGAGCCCTGCTGCCACGACCCGAGAGAGCGAATCCCGGCGACGGAGCCGGGCCGACTCGGAGCCGTGGATTCCACGCGCGAAACGTCATCGTAACTGTCCAGGACCGATTCCAAACAGTCTCTTGGATATGAATCGGTCAGCTGGGAGGGCGGGGGGAAGAAGATCGGAGGTCAGCTCGGAGGTCAGCTGTGCCGCGGCCAAGCGGCGCATTGGCCACTCCATTCCATCAGAAGGAGGCCATTGGCCTTGAGTTTGGGGAAAAACACATATGGCCACTCCGTTGGGATGACTCCGACTGGGTTCGGACCTTTTTTGCGCGCAACACTTGACTCTTCTAGGAACAGATTGGACGTTCGGAGATCACCTCGATGGCGATGTCTTACAGTGGTTTCAGAGGTTCGATGGCACTGGCACCCCTCAATGACCTTTTAGATGGGAATCCACATCAACCACCACACTTAGGGGATGGTGCCATCTACTCTCCACTGAGCCTGGTCCAAGTGGGTCTTCGGATGCAACCGGCCTAATGACCGGTTCAAAGGGAGCTCCTTTCAAAAAAGGGAAGCTTATAGTTGGACTATGTTGGACTATATTTCAGGCCCCCCGGGAGACGATCAGCGCTTCCCACACCCGATGCTGCTGCCCCTGAGATGACCGCCTGGGAGTTCATCAAGTGCTTCCTCTACAACATGCTCACAGCACGTGACTTCGGATGCAAACATGCCTAGTAGCGATGCCAGGAGCCCCTATAGCTTCCATGTTCTTCTGGAATTCTTCTGGGGTGGATGAAGAGCTTTGGTCATGTTTTCAGCAGGGGAAGGTGAGTGACTGGGTTCTGACCGCTAGATCCAGCGAGCGGGGTAACATGTGATATAAGGAGACTAGAATCCTTGGTGGTTGTTGATGAGTACCTGAGTACCTGAGTACCTTCATTCATGTTGAATTGACAACTGTAACTTGGCCCCTTCCTGGGCTTACAGGAACGTGTGTCCAATGTTTATTCTTCTCGTTCTCATTTCAGCACTCATAGAGGCAAGCAGAATCCCATGCTTCCCCAGATGGCCGGTCACCTCAAGACCCTGCTTCCCCTCGTCCTCGGGAGGACCGCAGGTGTGTCGATCAGTGATCGATGGATCCTCCGAGAAAGACGGGAAATTCTGAATGATGTGTCTCTACCCCCATCTTTAGTGTTTGATCATGTTTGATCTATCTAGCTCGGACTCCTTGGAATCAACTACTGTATTTTCCATTTAAAGAAACAGCAAATCGATCAGAGCAGAGAGCTTGTTTGAACCGTCAATCTCGCGAACGCACTGAGGTGTTTGGTTAGTCATGGTCGCTGCCAGACTCTTAGATTCCTAAAGGAACAGCAGACCATCGCCATCGCGATGCTCCGGGATGGTCTGCTGGATGGTCTGATGGACCTGATCCAACCTGATGGTCTGTGCGAGGGAAACAAAGGTGACAGGATAAAGAATTGGATACACTGTATCTATACACTCCTGGATATACTGCAAGAACAACTGAATAAAGAATTGGATATACTGCAACTTTATGGAAGTGGACACTCGCCTGTTTTCTAGAGGCAAAAGGTCGTTCAAGGGGACATGTTCCACTTCCATGGTGTGCTTCAAGAGTGTAAACCCGCAAACTGTTCGCAATAAGTTGGGGCATCCATCTGCCTAAAGCACTCGCCTTCAAGAAATGTTTCGAGATGGAACGTTTGGCACAGAACCCAACTGAGAAATGAACGTTTGCAGGTCCAGAATGTTGGGGTGCATTCAGTAGTAGGTGACACGCAGTGGGGGTGTTTCTTGAACTTCACGCAGTTGGCACATTCACCTCTAGTAGCTTCTTGTTACTACTAGTAAGGCACTTGTTACTAGTAGC